TCTGTCTCAAAAAAAAAAAAAAAGAAAAGAAAAGAAATTACACGTTCATCCTGGAAGAGAACTGAGACCTGAGCATTAAGGGGTTCATAAGGGTGTCTCTCCCTTGTGGATTGTACTTTTTATCCATAGTCAAAATGTTCCGTTTCCATGCTCGGAGTTGGAATTAGCTCTCGATAAGCTCACACAAAATGCCCTGGCACACAGGAGATGCTCAGAAAGCATTTGTCCCCTTACCCCCTTCATAGCTCCTTCAAAAAAGGGGAGCTGCCTCCTTGGGGAACACCTCCCCTCACATGCACAGAGAGAGGTGGAATACTCAGAGATGGAGCAGCCACCTCCCTTCCCTCTTCTGCTGTTCAGAGAAATCTGGTGCTCAGATCGATCGCATCTTGGGAAAGAGCCACTCGCCTGTGGATGGTGGAGGTATTCCTCATGCTAAAGTTGGAGGAGCTGATCCTCTCCAGAAACGCCTGGGCCAGTTCAGGGGTGATGTCATAGACCGTATCCAGCTGCTTGGTGGCGTTGTCATAGCTGATAAATAGCCCGATCTGGTGGACAAGGATGGGAGGATCAATGAGGGTGGAAGTGGCCTCCTGTGGCCCCAGCCCACTGGTCTGTGCTGCGCTCCCTCCCAGACCCTGGGATCCGCCACCTGGTTCTCCTCGTTGATCTCTTACTGCTCTGTAACTGCTGCTTTGGTTTCCTGTTCAACCCAACTGTTATTTAAAAAAGATTATTTTTTAATGTCCAAGCAGTTGGACTTTTTTTTAAAGCTAATTCTTGCACATTTATTTCTAGATTTGTTAGATTGAGGTCAGAGAATGTGGTCCATCAATTTTCTGCTTTGAAGAATCAGAATTTTTTTTAATAGATGAGCGAGTTTATAAGTGGCCCTTGGGTGATGGAAAAGAGTATGTGTTCTCTTTGTAATATACAAAATTTGGCATATAGATATTCAACGTTATTAAATATACCATTCAGATTCTATATATTCTTGTTCCCTTTTTGTCTACATGTCCAATGGTGTTGCATTGAAGTCTACTACTGTAGGGCTCATACTCATTTTTCCTTATTATATGTCCTACAGATTTTGCAATGTATATTTCGGTGCGCTGTTATTCTGTGCATAAAGGGGTTCATAAGGTTGTCTCTCCCTTGTGGATTGTACCCTTTATCCATAAATTTCCCTCTTAGTGTTGGTACTCCTGCCTTCCCCTCCCTTCTCTGCATTTTTTGATAATGAAAAATTGCAAATGGGTGTTTGATCTTAGAAATCCCCCCTAAGGGCCCAGCTTTCTAAGAATTTAACCTGTATCTACTTCCTGAAAATCACTTAACACTGGGAGAATAGGGAGGTGGGGGTGGGGATTATTCTTAAGAATGAGGGTTATAAAAATTGGAAGACGTCTAAAACACTCCCAGCCTTCTAGGTAAAAGAGATGACTCTCCCTCTACCTCCAGTTTCGTAATAACCAGACATTGTTGGGTCAACTGGTGCTTGAACGAGCCAGTTATCTGATGCAAACACTTCTCTCATTGGCCAGGACAAAGTCAGGATGCATATGATTAAAAAAAAAAAAAATTGGAGGCAAACTCCAAACTCTTTATGAATGCATCCGTGTCAGCAGCATTCTTTGGAGGCTGCATTCCAGAATCATGATGTCTAAGAGAACTTAGTGTCATTGGGTCAACATCATTAGAAGAAAAGAGACAGGTTGACTAGTGAGTTCAGTAACCTTAGAACCTATACGTTTTGCCACTGTAAACTCTAGAGTTAAAATCCAATCGTTGCTCAGACTGAAATAGCTATGAATAGAAGGAGCTATAAATAGAAGTAGCTGTTGATCCATGTTGCTTTTGCTTCCAAGGACCAGAAAGTCTGTAACTATTGTCCTTGGCCTTTCTTGAGTACAAAAATACCCTTAAATGATTTTTGGTTCATAACCAACATTCCCTTTGTGTTATGTTTGTTCACATCAGAGCTGTCTTAGTTGCCCACAACTCTTTTTCTTTTCTTAGCTCTTCTATACTAAAACACAGTCCTATGACTGGCCACTCATGACCTTATTCAGAGAATTTTCTTCAGAGGCTTAAGATATACTGGGCTGAGGTGGATGTGCAATTTCCAGGGCACATTGACCGGCTGGCTGAATGTTAGAGATTTAGAGGACACCTCACCCCAAGTGTATTAGTAATGGGGACATATAAATGCTTTTTTCCAACTTACTTCTACAGGGCTAATTTTCATAATTTCTTCAAACGGGAGGTGAACCATATATCTGCCCAAAATCCATAACTTTTCTGCACTGACCCATGAAACAGAGTCATCTACAAAAAAAATAAGCAAATGAATAAATAAATAAGTAAAAGCCTTCACACTAGGAATGTGATAATCAACAGCATCTTTGATGTCAGGGCCTCCTTCTTACAGTCATTAGCTCATTCAACAACCATTTATTGAGCGCCTACCTGTGCGACGCTATGCTACACACACAGTGTGATCACAGATGCCCCCACCTGAGACTTTGTTATCAATAGTGTGGTCCCTGGAATCAGCAGCATCAGCCCCTTCCTGGGAACTTGTTAAAAATGCAGATTATTTTTTAACACTTAAAACCACAAAATATAGTTTTCTTTTTAGTTTCATCAGTTGCTAAATAATCCGGCAACTTGAAATATTTGATCTCTTTTATTGTTACCACTAATAATGATTATCAACCTTATGAATTATCACCAGGTTACTATATTACAAACCAAATCATCTGTACCTCCCCAAATGTTCTCCAAATCTTCACTTGCACTGGCCTTTCTCACCACCATTCCTCAACCCTCCTTTGTCCAAATCCTGCCTTCAAGATCAAGCTCAAATTTTCCTCTTCCTTAAAGCCCTCTCTTACCTCCTTAGCCGGAAGGGCTTTCTCCCTCCTCTAAATTCCCAAAAGACCCTCTCTGTCACCCTGTTCTGGCTTTTGAAATTCCCCATCAGTGAGATGTCAATGGAACTTTAAAAACAGTCATGTCCACGATGCGTCCAAGTTTCACTGAGCTGGAGCTAGCCGCCATTGCCCCCCAGTTCTTTAGTAAAAGACATGTACACACAACAAATGCCACACTGTGTTGGTGGCATTTGGGGAAATGAGAGAAGGGGGAAATGGGCACAGGGAACCAGTCACCAAAAGCTGTTGCAGAAGCCTTGGGCAATGACGGAAGCCTCAGCGAGGCGGCGAAGTCAGCTTGTGCATGGGCTGATCCACAAGAACATACAGGGTCCCTCCTCCAGCCCAGGAATCAGAAATGTTGGGGTGAGCACAGGCTCACCCTGTGATCCCCTCAGTGGGGACTCCGGACATCTACCTTGGCTATTGGAGGAAAGGGTGGCCCCAGAGGGCTACAGCATTTTGAAAGTAGCATCACAAAATTCACCAAGAACCAAGCTGAGTTTTTCATTTTTTAACTAATTGTTAAGCATGAACTGTATTTCTAAAGATGCGTGATCCCCAAGCTTGGGATATTTTTAACAGCCAAAGAATTTCCAGTTATCTCAAGGGCCTTCATGAAAAAAAAATTAAGATCCAAATAGAATTAATTTTAATTCACTGTAGTTTAATAATGAAACCTACCATACAGGAATTTTAGAAGGAAAGTCTGAGCCTAAGTAAACTCTGGCAATAAAGACTTAGGGAAGTCTAGAGGTTGAGTGACTTTCTCATGGTTACACAGTGTGAGGCTCGTATTCCTAAAGGCCAGGCAGAGGGAATTCTGCGACACGTTGAAAATGTTGATTATTATGTTATTTAATGTTCATTATACACAAATCTGAGAGCTTAATTCCAGGAAAAGGATTGATTGGCATTCCCTATACTCCAGCCCCACTAGCTTTCTTTGTCTTCCCCACACTAGCTCATTCCCACCTCATGGCGTTTGTATTCGCCGGTCCCTCTCCCTGGAATGCACTTCCTCCAGCGCCGCACAGGACTGCTTCCATCTTCTCACTTTGGTCTTAATTCAAATGTCACCCACTCGAGAGAGGTTCCCTGATTCCTTAGTCCAGGGGTTGGCAAACCACAGCCCACGGGCCAAACCCAGCCCACCGCCTATTTTTATACAGCGTGTGAACCAAGAATGGTTTTTACATTTTTAAACAGTTGAAAGGAATATCAAAAGAAGAATAGTATTTGGCGACATGTGAAAACTGTATGAATTTCAAATTTCAGTGTCCATCTATAAAGTTTTATTGGGACACAGCCACAACCATTCATCTATTGTCTGTGGGAGTTTTCAAGCTGCAACATCGGAGCTGAATAGTTGAGACTGAAAACATCTGCCAAGCCCTCTTCTGGCCTAAAGTGCCTGTAGTAACCCTTTCTATGGCATTTATTCTTTGTATTTTCTTCATAGCAGCTACCAGTATCTAAATTCTCTCTCTCTCTTTTATTTATTTACTTGTTTAAAATGTTCTCCACCTACCCTTCCACAGAAAAACAAGAGGGCCATGAGAACAGAAACTTTGTCTTATTTTATCTCTATCCTCAGCTACTGACACATAGTAGGCTTTCAGAACTGTGTAAAAGTTTATACTGTTGACGTTACTGGCATTAAATATTTAACAAGTTGAAGCTGTCTGAGAAATTGTTTTCATTGCTAATCTACATAGCCATTCTTTTCTCTCTCTCTCTCTTTTTCGATTAAGGTAATGTACACATAATATAAAATTTACCATCTTAACCATTTTTAAGTGTGTAGTTGAGTGGCCACAAGTACATCCACACTGTTGTGCAACCATCATCATCATACATAACCAGCACTTTTTGCATCTTGCAAAATCAAAACTCTACCACCGTTCTAATTTCTTTCTCTATAAATCTGACTACTCGAGCACATAAGCAGGCTTTTAATAAACATCTGTCAAATAAACAAATCCTGACCTACTTCTGCTTTGGTTGCCAGGAAGCTCAGAGTTAAATTTCTGTGCTTTATTGCCTAGACTTTCCGACAAAATTATCTTGTGCTATTTTAATACAGGTTTTTTCATACAGATGTTGGACTCGTAACTGCCTATACTAAAGGTTCTCATCTAATCTAAGATGCCATCATTATTTGTGTTCCACTAAAAAACTAGAACACACCATTGATTGTAAGATACAGACGCATCATTATTTCAGACACTTCAACATGTGAAAAGTGCATCGATGAAGCAGGGTATGTGTTTTATACCATAAGCCACATCAAATCCTTTTTGGAGGTGGCAAGCGTGGTGAAAATCATAAGAGACAATGAAATCAAACCCATATTTTCAGAGATGAAGCGCCTCTTTGAGGATGTACTTCTCCCAAAAAGCGACCCCAGCTCAAAGCACAGGCTCACCAGTGGCATTGGAGGACGTCTGCAAGATCCCAGTCATCCAGGTGTAGACGGCTCTCTGGGAATGAGCCGAGGTTTGGTCGTAGAGATCTTTGAACACCGCAGATCTAAACGACACAAACATGGCGTCAATGAATAACAAACAGGTGGAAGCTGCTTTGAATGGGAGTCAAAACAGCAAATTGCCCAAAGCTGTCCTGTGTTAAAAATCCTTCCCACCCCTTTGCTATATGTAGCAATTTCTCCCATTTCTACTCTTTCCCTTCACAGCTAAACACCTTTCGAAGAGTGTTCTGTACGTCCTGTCTCCATTCCCTCACCTCTTGGTCCTTTTGTGGAGGGGAAGAGAGGACATCGTTATTGAGATACAATTCATACACCATACAATTCACCATGTAAAGTGTACGATATTCTCAGAATCGTACAACCATCATCACAACCGATTGTAGAACATTTTAAGCATCTCAAAAAGAAACCCCACATCCTTGCTATCTCCCCTCAACATTCAGTCTCCCCAACTCCTAGGAACCACTAATCTACTTTCTGTCTGTATAGATTTGCCTACTCTGGACATTTCATATAAATGACATCATACAACAAGCAGTCCTTGTAACTGGTGTCTTTCACTGGGCATGATGTTTTCAAGGTTCATGCGTGTCAGAGCATGTAGCAGTACTTCATTCCTATTTGTGCCCAAATAATATTCCATTATATGGACCTAACATATCTTGTTTACCCATTCATCAGTTGGATATTTAGGTTGTTTCTGTCTTTTGCCTTTTGTGAATGACGCTGCTATAAACATTCAGGTACAAGGTTTTGTGTGGCCACACGTTATGTGTTCACGTCTCTTGGGAATGTACCCAGGGGCAGAACTGCTGGGTTAAATGGCAGCTCCGTTGAGCCTCTCTAGGAACTGCCAGACTGTTTCCAAAGCAGCTGCAGCACTGTACGTTCCCACCAGCCGTGCAGGGGGATTCTGATTTCCCCACATCCTCTTCAACACTTGCTATTCTCTGGTGTTTCGACTAGAGACCTCCAGCTGGGTGTGAAGTGCCGTGGTCATTTTTTAAGCCACTGCAATCTGGTTTGCCTATCACCAGGTCACTCCCTGTGGCCCAAGTCACCTCCTTCCAGCCTTCTCTGGAGGTCTCATTTGGTCCAAATAGGACTGACCCTTTCACAGCCTTTGCACTGATCCCCCCTCCTGCCCAACCTGCAAAACAGCTGAGTCTCCTCCTCCTGGAAGCCTTCCCTCCTCCCCACCCCCACCACTGAATAGCAATTCACCAACTGGCCCATTCGCCAAACTTCTCTAAGCTTCAGCTTATCCCTGCCACTCCCCCAGCCATCTGATACTGCACATGAATAGGCAAACTTTCCCTTAAGCCCAATTGAACATCTTCTCGATTTTTGTTTTTCTTTTCTTTAATTTTCATTTTATTTTAAGAACAAGAGTTGGTGAAAGAGCAGGGGTAGGAAAAAGATATCATTCTTTTTAAAAAATGGTAAACATCATTTAAGGGAAAGTTTGCCCATATGCAAAAATGCCGGCTCTCTCGTTCCCTAGTAGACTGACCTAACTAAGTTATTGAGTCTCTCTGTGCCTCAGTGTCCTCATCTGAAAACCAAGGATGGGATTGATGGCATCGTTCTCACAGGGAGAAGAGGGATGGCAGGGTGGGGTGGGAAGAGGATGGAGTCAGAACTCAGGAGACCTGGGTTAAGATCAAGTCAAATACCATGGGATCACCACAAGGACATCATCCCCTCTCCAGGCCTCAGTTTCTTTATCTATGACAGAAAAGGCTGAATCAGATGATGCCCGTCAGGATGTCTTCAGTGGAAGTGGGGGCGTGTTCTAGACTCTCTGCTCCGGAACTGGGAACCCGGAGTCAGGCAATGTCATGTCTGTGTCGTTCTGTTGTCTTTCTGTCTGCGAGACTTGTAATCTTGCCCAGCTCCATTCAGGACCTATATAAAGTTGGGTTTCGCAGTGGACATCTGCGGGTTTTGACTGACCAGCACCCATCCCTCCTTTTCTTATAACAGCACCTCAATTTTTCTTGAGAATACCATGTTTCTCCCACTCTTGGTCCACGTCATTTAGGTTGGGCTTTGACCCACATTTAAGCCATTTGGTATATTAGATCCCTTTGGCCACAGTGATTGGCTCAAGGTTGAGCATATGACCCAAGTCTGAACCAATAGGAATCAGGCCCAGTGCTTTGCTTGGAACCACTGGAAAGAGAGACACAGTGAGGTCTCCTCTGGACCAGGCGCTCTGAGGAGGTAGGCTGGATCTGCGAGTACTACCTGAACAGAGAGCCCACCTGAGAGTGAGGCCAACCCACAGGAGGGCAGAGCAGAGAGAGAGCCATAGACATTGCTGGTGGCATAATTTGACCCTCTGGGTCCAGCTGTGCCTGAAGCCAGCCTACACCTAAAACTATTCAATCACAGGATCCAATAATTCCCTTTTTGGCTCAAGCCAGTTCGAATGGGTTTTTCTGTCACTTGCAATTAGATGAGCAGTGACCAATAAACTCCCTCTCCTGGTGATGTTTTCTCTGCCTCCATGTTCCCCTGCATACAACCTGAGTGAATGGAGGAGGGAGATGCTGAATTTAAGCGTCAGTTCCAGAACTCATATATTGACCTGTCCCCACCTGTCTTCTTCTTGCTGACAGGTCTTACCTCCTCGAATGCTCACACAGCCCCTGCTGGACAGATGTGAGGGTTAGAGGGCAAGAGGAGGAACTTACAGGTTCTTAAAGGCGTCCTCGCGCAGGTCCCGGGGGAGCCTCTCCATGATGTCTGGCTGGAGAAAGCCGCCTGAGGACGCCCTCAGCAGCCTGCCCAGAATCTCCACACACTCCAGGGAGTTCAACACCTGGAAACACCTCTCCAGCGTGACCAGAAACAGGCTGCGGTTCACACCAGGGCTCTGCAAGGCTTGTTCCCGAATCTCTCCCAAGTCAATGACGGTGTCCTTGAGGTCCTAAAGCAACGAGAGAAGCCAGGGTCGCCTTCAGAGCTGCCTCTCGATTTCTAAATCCTGGGACTGACCACACATTGCAGCACTGGGGAAATTCAGGATCACTGTTTAACACCATCCTGCTATGTCAAAACTTCTAGAACTTTCCATCACCTACATAACAAAGTCAAGCCTTTACCTGCTCCACTCATTCTGGAGCCTTCCCACTCTCCAGATACAACATGACTGTCACACCTCCAGCTAAATTCCTGCCCTGCTCCTTTTCCTGGCAAAATCCAGCTTATCCTTTAAGGCTGAGCTCATTGGCCATGTCCTGGGTGAAGACTTCCGTGATCCCTTCCAATGTCCTACTTCAGATCAGATCTCCCTCCACTATGTGCTCCCAGAGGATCTTGAGCCAAACTCCATGATGCATTAAAGATGCTCATGTATCTGTCTTCCCAAGCCCATGGTTCTCAACTCTGGTGACACCTCGGAATCACACGGGGAGCTCTGAAAAAGTACGGATCTCCGGCCCTACTATCTAGAGTTTGATTTGATTGGTCTGGGTGGAGCCCAGGCATTGATTCCAGTGCATACCCAGGGTTGAGCCAGAAAAGTCCTTGAGCCTAAGCCATGTACAGTGGAAGTGCCTAGTGCCTAGAGGACTGAAAATAGCCTGTCAGAATAAATGAAGGAAGGAAGGAATCCTTTGATCCACAGAACCCAGGAATGCTAACAAGGTTTAGTCACGATCTGACTGAGGCCTCTGTCCTTCCTCCCACACACCCTTCAAAACTAGCCTCCATTTTACTGAGCATCAACTACACGCCAGGCAACTGCACCGAGCGTGGGACAAACATGCATCACTTAACGCTCACTTAACGCTCATGACAGTCCCCTAGGTGAAACCCCATGAGTCTCAGGGTCAGGCGTTCCTAGGTTCAAATCCCAGGGCCTCCACTTATTATCTGTGTGTTCTTGAGCAAACGACTTGTCTTTTCTAAGTCCCAGTTTCCTCCTCCATAAAATGGAGATAAAGTCAGTACCTAGGCTGGGCGCGGTGGCTCACGCCTGTAATCCTAGCTCTCTGGGAGGCCGAGGCCGGCAGATTGTTTGAGCTCAGGAGTTCGAAACCAGCCTGAGCAAGAGCGAGACCCTGTCTCTACTAAAAATAGAAAGAAATTAATTGGACAACTAAAAATATATAGAAAAAATTAGCCGGGCATGGTGGCGCATGCCTGTAGTCCCAGCTACTCAGGAGGCTGAGGCAGAAGGATTGCTTGAACCCAGGAGTTTGAGGTTGCTGTGAGCTAGGATGACGCCACGGCACTCACTCTGGCCAGGGCAACAGAGTGAGACTCTGTCTCAAAAAAAAAAAAAAAAAAAAAGTCAGTACCTACTTTTTTGACTCGTGTAAGAACTGAATGAGATAATGATTATAAAATGCCTGGTACCTGGTGAACACTCAACAAATGTTATGTGTTATTATTAGCTCAGTATCACAGGTGACTGAAACAAAACAGAATAAGTAACTGGCCCAAACACATAAGGAACTGGGATCTGAAACAAGTGTATCTGAGCACAAACCCACCCTTTAACCATGACTAAGTGTTTCCTAACTTCGGTCATTCACCGTAGGTGGCCAAACAGTGTAGTGTTACACTTAGGAATCCTTAAGCAGAAGACTGGGGTAGAATTTAGGGTATCTGTGAATATTGGGGGAAAGAACTGCACCCTCATTTTTACCAGCATAGAACTGACATTTAGCATTTCCTTCCCGGATAAACGTGTGCAATGGGGTACAGTGGTGGTAGTAGGATCTTTGACTTTGTCATCGCTTGAAATCACAGATACTTTCAAAACACACCACAGTTGTTGCAGACATCTTGAAATCTCATTTGCACTCAATACTTCCTCAAAAGTATGGAAGTTATTAGACCTGCTGCTAAATCTTGTTACTGACTATGTTAAAGAAGCACATAAATTACTATGCCCTAAATGTGCTTGATTATAGAATTGGCTTCCTTTGTAATCTTTGGTATTTTGTTTTGTAAGTTTTAAAACATTATTCTGAGAAGGGGCCTATGGACTTCACCAGATGTCAGAAGAGCTCAGAGCTACAGTCAGAAGCCCAGGTCTCAACCTCAGACTTGCCACTTACTAAACCTCTCCAAGCCCCAGTTTCCTCATCTGAATATTAGAATGGTAAGAGTCTTATTAATATTTTTCCAGACGGTCCTGGAGAGTGTTCAGTGAGTTAGTCCATGCATGTTAAACCCTTAGAACAGTGGTCAGCAAGCTTTGGCCTGCAAGCTAAATCTGGCCCACAACCTGTTTTGTGAATAAAGTTTTATTGAAATACATCTGCACCCATTCATTCACTAATCATCTATGGCTGTCATCCATCTGGGGCTGCACCCACTCATTTACTAATCATCATTGCTGCTGTCACTCAGCAATGGCAAAGCTGAGTAACTAAGACATAGAAAGTATGCCATTCAGAGCCTAAAATACTATCAATGTCTGGCCCTTTACAGAAACAGTTTGCTGAATGATGCCTTAGAATAACCCACACATAGTAAACCCTCAATAAACATTAAGCAATATCATTTTCCTAGACCACGTCCCCATTTTTGCCATATCTTTTCACTGCCTTCCCTATTATTTACTTTGTATTTTTCTTTAAACTAAGTCTTTTTATAAATTTAAATTTATTTCAAAAAGAAACTTTATATCCCTACCAAACTGGTTTGATGTGCCCATCAAATTTTAATAACAGACATTAAAATAAGTATATGGTTATTAAAACGTTTAAATGGTTCAACTCTTTTTGAGAGACACTGCTCTGCACTAAACTGTCTCCACTAAAGAAAACTCTAGGCTGGGCACAGTGGCTTATGCCTGTAATCCCAGCACTTTGGGAGGCCAAGCTGGGAGGATCACTTGAGGCCAAGAGTTTGAGACCACCCTGGGCAACACAATGAGACCCTACCTCTGCAAAAAATTTTTAAAAATTAGCCAGGTATGGTAGTGCACTCCTGTAGTGTGAGCTACTCAGGAGGCTGGGGCAGGAGGATCACTTAAGCCCAAGAGTTGAAGGCTGCAGTGAGCTATGATGATGCCACTGTATTCTAGCCTGGTTGTTAGAGCAAGACCCTATCTCAAAAATGAGAGGGGGAGGGAGAGAGAGAGAGAGAGAGAATGAACAACGAAACCTCACCTTTCTAGATCCCAAGGACTTTCCAGGGCTCAGAGACCAGACTTTTGCTCCTGTATCACTAATCTCATCTCGTGAAAATTATCTGTTTTTGTTTTTGTCTCCCCTCCGCACTGTAAGCTCCTTGAGAGCAGGGGCAGTCTTTCCTCTCCATGTCCACTGGCGCATAGTGATCATTCATGAATCTTTACTGAACCAAACTATTAGAAGATCCTCAGTACCTCTCATTTCTAGGTACCCGCAAGAATATGAATTATAATGCTCCTCATTTGAACTTTGGAGAAAGTGAGAAAACCTAGATCCTAAAGCTCCCAGGGGGTTGGGGAAGGGAGAAGGGAGGAAGACATAAAAGAAAAGCAGGGGCAGGGGGCCCAAGGCCTGAGTCAGGCTCAGTTTGATTCAATTCAAACAATACCAACTGGCCCTGGACTTCCTCTCCCCGCAGGATGCCAAGAGCGCCTCACCAAGCGGCCCTTCTTGTCTTCCAAGAGCCATCTCATGGCAGTGCGGAATCGCTGAGCGTCTGTTTCCCTCAGGTCCTCCAGCAGCTTCTGGGGCTGGTGCAAACGCTGCTCCAGGTGGTTTTCCATGGCTGCCTGGACATGGGGTGTTGGGAGAGTCGGTGAGAACAGAAGGGCAGGGCACGTGGTCAGCACCAAGGCCAGCAGCCAGGCCAGACCACCTAATTCCCTGCAGAAGTGTTTGGTTGGCCGGCTCCTAATTTTCTCATTGGCTGCCAACATTTAAAAGCCAGGACACACCCGAAGAATGGACATATTTGAAATTCGGACTTAGTGGGGGAGGGGGGCAAGGGCAACATACGTAACCTAAACATCTGTACCCCCATAATATGCTGAAAAAAAAAAAAGCCAGGGCCGGGCGCGGTGGCTCACGCCTGTAATCCTAGCTCTCTGGGAGGCCGAGGCGGGCGGATTGTTTGAGCTCAGGAGTTTGAGAACAGCCTGAGCAAGAGCGAAACCCCATCTCTACTAAACTTAGAAAGAAATTAATTGGACAACTAAAAATATATAGAAAAAATTAGCCGAGCATGGTGGCGCATGCCTGTAGTCCCAGCTCCTCGGGAGGCTGAGGCAGGAGGATCGCTTGAGCCCAGGAGTTTGAGGTTGCTGTGAGCTAGGATGACGTCACGGCACTCTAGCCTGGGCAACACAGTGAGACTCTGTCTCAAAAAAACAAAGCAAAAAAAAGCCAGGACATTCCTCACAAAATCCAGATTCCCAACTTCTCTAGGAAAATGCAAAGATTTGGCAACACTGGGCACGTAATCCCCTTTTTGCAGACCCCGGGGGAGCTGCTTGCAGAAATAACTCTTCAGGCCCAGCCAACCTGATTTCCCCAATCCATGGCCTGCCTGGTCCTGGTAGGTGAGTGGGGCTTCAGGTCTGGAGCAGCTGGCCTTTGCCTAGAAAGCTTAGCACCCCCAGATGACGCTGCTGCTCAAACCTAAGCTGCCAGACAGGAGCAAATTCAGACCCAATGAACAAGCTCTCTGTGGCTTTCCCTCCAGGACAAGGAGCAAAATCCAACAGCCTTTCTTGAAAGAGATTTCCTCTGCTATCTGGGGAATTATTTTCTAAACCTCCGTTACACAGAGGTGCTCTGGGACGGCAGCACAGTGTGACATCGTGCGCAAGAGATGGACTCTAGACCCAGACAACCCATATGCAAATCATCACCTTGACACTTCCTGGCTGTGTGGCCTTAGACAAGTTACTTAACTAAGGTTGTTCCATAAAATACAGGATGCTCAGTTAAATGTGAATTTCAGGTAAGCAATGAATAATATTTAAGCATAAGTATGTCTCAAATGTTGCATGGGACATACTTATACTGGAAAAATTGCTTCTTGTGTATCCAAAATTCAAATGTAACTGAGCAACTGTATTTTTATTTGCTAAATCAGCAACACTACTTTTGGGCCTCAGTTGTCCCATTCGAAAAATGTAGGGTTGTTAATGGGTATTAAGTGAGTGTGTAAAGTGTTTTTCATGATGCCTAGCACACAATCAGCGCTCAAAAGTGCCAGCCGTTATTCTTTATCCTGAATGAGCTGAATAATGATTTACTTAATGTCTCTCCCCCTAGAATGAAAGGTCCGTGTGGGTAGCAACATGACTGTCTTGTTCTCCACCAAGTCCTCACTGTCTAGAACTATGCCTGGCAGAAAGTAGATGTTAAATAAGTAGGTACTGAATGAACGAATGAATATGGTATGTATAGGAAGAGAAGTAGTATATCTACTAATCAGATTAAAATAGATACATCTCATGACAAGCCTTACTGCTTGGGAGAAAAGAGGCAGGCATTGCTTCTCTTGAGGTTGTCACAACTGACAAACAGGAGAAGGAAAACAGACACCATGTGGGGCTGACAGCCATCTCTAGCTAGTGGGTGTCCTGGTACGTGGTAGACAGTCAGCTCTTTGAGTGTAGCCATGATGTGAATGTTGGTTGATATTTTTATTTTTGTTAAAACAGAAGTAAAAATTGAAACAAGACACATGTCAGAGCTGTATTCCTTGGTTAGTGATGTGAGTGGCTTCTTTGCCAAACCGGGCAATAGTGTTTGAACACTGAAGAATATTTTCTCAATTTTCTGTGCTATTCACAGTATAACTGTAAAGACACAACATGCCAAGCTCAGCTAACGGTCACACTGAAGAGGTATGTGTCGTCCAATTTACTGCAGTCCACACCGTGCCCTAGTGCCCCTTAAGGCAAATATCTTTTGCCACCTGGCAACATGCTTGTGCAGTTGTTTTCTTTATAGTGGAGTTAAAAGGAAGAAAAATATTTCTTGGACCCATGATTGAGAAGCTGATAACTATGCCCAAATATGCACTGTCCCTCTGCTCTTTTTATCAATATAACCCTCAACTTCTAGCCCGGTACATGGCTCCTTCACAGTGAAATGTGGCATGTGAGCCAATGGAACGTGAGCAGATGAAACTGTGTGACTTGCTGGTCACATCCTTAGAAGACAAGAAGCTCACCCTCCACTTCCTCTTCTCACCCCCTCCCCCAGGTTGGAGAACGAAGGTGGTGTTTCGACCATGTGGGCAACAACTCCCTAAGGGGCGACAGGGCAAACAGATAAAAGGAATCTGAGTCCCTGATGATCTCTCGGAACACAGCTGCCTCGCCCCTCTGGGTCTCCCACTTAGCTCTGGACTATTACATGAGAAAGTAAAAATGAAATTGCTTCAGTTGCTGTAATTTTGGGTCTCTTTGTTACAGTATCTCAGCCTACACCCTAATACACCTTGTCTCCATCAAAGGTGGGGAAATGAAAAAAAGACAAAAGAGCTTGTATCACGTTTCAAGAAAAACTGGGCAGAACGCTTTTCTTTGCAGAAGTAAAGAGTTTCTCTTTGCCCAGCCCATTTCTCCAACTTCCCTGGCCCCTGAGTTTGCAATCCCTGAGCATGAGAGGGGACCATATGCACGAGTCTCAGGTACACACCTGCAGGCTGGAGATGGTGAAGGGAACATGCCGTGAATTCAGGTAGGCCAGGACTCTATGGGACAGGTCTGCCGTCCACACGTGGGAGCTTCAGTCGAAGACAGACAGGAGAAGGTCACAATGACAGGTGCCCCTACAAGTGGTGTTGCACTAGCTGGGTGGCCCAGCGACAGCAGTTCAGAAAGAGTGGTGGGAATGGGCCAAGCATGCTAGCACCTTTGTGCTTGGAAGTAGGAGATTTCTTAACCAGGCAAGTGCCGAGGAAGTTTCCAACTGTAGGAATCTGCCTGGATCCCATTCTCCCAAAGACATCTCCATTTCTGAGCTGTGTGCTACGTTCTAATTCCCGTAACAATCCCCTTGGGTTGACTACAAGCCAAACTGCTTGACTTGGAAAGATGTCCTTACTACATGAAGTTTAAATAGCAGGTGCCGTATATGCCACAAGAGGCTGGACTAGCACAGTTAGGAGTGTGGGCTCCGAACATGGATTTGAACCCTGGCTCTAACACGTAGTTATGTGGCTTTAGGCAACTTGATGAATTTTCTTGTGCCTCAGTTTCCCTTTCTATGAACTATGGCTAACAATTGTGAGGATTAAATTCATTTGCACATATAAATTGCTTAAAACAGCGCCCGACATGTAGTAAATGCTCACAAAAAGCCTTTTATAATCCCACATCTTTTATAAATAAATAGATGGATGGACGGGTAAATTAATAAATAAATAAAACATTTAGCCTGAAAAAATATATCCAGAACTATCAGTCAGCATTATCTTACGGAGAGGAGTGTTTACAGGGATCTCTCGCTTTCACATAATTGGGTGGCCCTGACATGGGGTCCCAAGACCCCCATCTATTCTCCTTCATAGAGTTCATCATATTAGAATTATTTGTTAATAGTGGCCTTTCCACAACACTATCTAGCTCCCTGCCCCATGTCCCCAGCATCTAACACAGGCCTGTGTGCAGCACGTAGCACGATAGTGATTTGATGGACCCTGGATCCAAGCTGCTGGTTCACGTCCCAGCTGTGGTCTTTCCATCCAGCTGTGTGAGCCACAGCTGGGAAAACTCCCCCTCCCTGGGCCTCTCATTATTCTGTTCAGTGGGATAACAAGAAGACCTACGTAGTGGGGCCCTTGTCAGGGTCAAATGTGTTTCTATGCACCAGACACTTAGAGCAGTACTCACTACATAGCAATCAGTTTTGGCTCCTACGCTGGAGCCGAGGAAGAATAAATGTTTGTGGAACAAGGGTGTTGACTTTTAAAACACTTGTGCATTGGTTGACTCTTTTTTTATAATGAGCATGTATTACTTTTTATAATTAAGCAATTTCCATTAAGAATTTTTATTAAAAATCTATCCCATCCCTTCCCCTCTCCCCTCGAGGGCAGGTTACCTTTGAAATTGTATGAGATCCAGTAATGCTACAATGGGAATAAAATGAAAAGACAACTTAAAAAGGAATCATTCCAGAGAGATCACAGCCTCATTCTGTTTGAAATTCTTAGAAGCAGCCAATGGAGACAGAGGGGCACATTACCATTCAGATAGCTGCCGTCTATTATTTCTTCCTAAAAGGCAAAGAGATAACATCAACTATAACACCCAAAAGTTGGCAGTTCTAGCAGAGGGGATTTTGATTAAAAGAAGATGGAATACTCACTGCCATTTTTTGCAACAACGGATGCAAATCTGTAAGAAAGCCATGGAATGGATAACTAGAATTGAATTGTGTGACCTTCAAAACTGCAAACGTGAGTCGGGAAGCAAGCCCCCAAAATAGCTACTCAAAAAGGAAATTTTTAGCATGTTTTAATTATACCTGTGCTCATCGTGAGAAAACGTTGGTTTGAAAAACTTTTTTAGAATAATCCTTAGAAATCCTGCACAAACACACACACACACACACACACACACACACACGCACATTCAAACAACTTAAGGCTTCATGTACCTAAATTGATCTATCCCACTACATTCCCTGAGATGTCTGGAAACCATGAAGGGTGATTCTTCCCTCGTACTTACCCTCATTGGAATCTGGCATTCTCTGACTCGCCACTCCATGGCTCAGAGCAAGAAACAGGAAAAGGGTGTATGTCGCAGGTTCCTGAGACATTCTCCTACAGTTAAACCAAGCATGGAAGTGATTCAGGATTGGTTTTTTAAATATATTTAAGGACATTCAGAAGACAAAATGGAAACACAAGTAAACCCAGAATCCGCTGAACTTTTTTTAAAAAAATAATTTTAAACTTCCATCGACTTTGCCCCATCTAAACCTCTATTCTAGTCTGAGACACAATGATCTCTCTCCTTGGTGACCACAATGGCCTATTTTTCTTCTTACCACCATCTTCCATCCCCTCCACCCAGCAAAGAGGAGTGTTTGTAACATGACGAACATTTGTGCACAGGTTTTTATGTGAACACAAGTTTTCATTTTTCTGGGGTAAATGCCCAAGAGTGCAACTGCTAGGCTGTATGTTAAATGCATGTTTAATTTTATAAGAAACTACTAAACTGGAACCAATCCAAATGTCCTTCACTGGGTGAATGGTAAAACTAACCGTGGTATGTCCACAGCCTAGAATACTACTCAGCAACAAAAAAGGAATAAACTATTGATACATGCAACGATCTGGGTGGACATAAAGGGAATTATGCGGAGTGAAAAAAGTCAACAAAAGGTCATATACTGATGATTCCATTTATCTAACACTCTTGAAATAAAATTATAGACATGGAGAACGGATTAGTACTTGAGGAGGAGATGTGGCTACCAAGGGAAGCATGAAGGACACTTACGGTCATGGAACAGTTCTGGGTCTTGATTGGGGTGGTTGTCACATGCATCTACACACAAGATGAAATTGGAGGAAACTATGTACAGATACACACACAAAGAAGTGGGTGTAAAACTGGTGAAATCTGAATAAGCTCTGAGGATCGTACCACAAATTCCTGAATTTGATATTATACTATTGTTATACAAGGTGTAACCATTGGGGGAAACTGAGAACACAGGACATTTCTTTTGTAACTTCCTATGAATCTATAGTTATTTCAAATTTTTAAAAAAATCTTAGTTCTAGTGTTCAGTACCACTACAGGATAAATATAGTTAACAATAGTGTCTTATATAGTTTCCGATAGCTAAAGGGAGGATATTGAATGTTCCCAAGAAATGATACATTTTGAGATGATGCATATGCTAATTATCCTGATCTGATCACTATACACTACATGTATCCAAACATCACTATGTACTCCATAAATATATGCAATTATTATATGTCAATTAAAAATAATATAATAAAAAATAAATTTTAAAAATACTGGCCGGGCGCGGTGGCTCACGCCTGTAATCCTAGCACTCTGGGAGGCTGAGGCGGGCAGATTGTTTGAGCTCAGGAGTTCAAGACCAGCCTGAGCAAGAGCGAGACCCCGTCTCTACTAAAAAAAATAGAAAGAAATTAGCTGGACAACTAAAAAAATATATAGAAAAAATTATCCGGGCATGGTGGCGCATGCCTGTAGTCCCAGCTACTTGAGAGGCTGAGGCAGTAGGATCACTTGAGCCCAGGAGTTCGAGGTTGCTGTGAGCTAGGCTAATGCCACGGCACTCACGCCCGTGTGACAGAGCAAGACTGTCTCAAAAAAAAAAAAAAAATACTCAAAGGAGAAAAAAACATACTGTATGCATAGGAAAAGGACTAAACTATTAATACCTACAAGAACATGGATGAACCTCAGAAGCATTATGCTGACCCAAAGAAGCCAGCCACAAAAGAGTACATATGCATGATTCCATTTCTATGAAACTTTAAGATACGTGAAATAATCTACAGTGACGGAAAACAAATTGGGAGTCACCTGGGGCACTATAGGGTGCTGTGGGAGGAGTTTATTACAAAAGGGCACTAAAGAACTTTTAGGGGAAATGGAAATTTCTATATCTTGATTGTGGTGATTGATGTAGAGATACATACATTCATCAAATCTCATTGAACTGTACACTTAAAATGCATGCTTTTTTGTTTGTTTGTTTGAGATAGGATCTTGCTCTGTTGCCCAGGCTAGAGTGCAGTATCGAGATCATAGCTCACTACAATTTCAGACTCCTGGGCTTGAATAATCCTCCTGCCTCAGCCTCCCCAGTAGCTGGGACTACAGGTGTGCACCACCACACCCACCTAATTTTTCTATTTTTAGTAGAGATGGGGTCTCACTATGTTGCCCAGGCTGATCTTGAACTCCTGGCCTCAAGTGATCTTCCTGCCTCCACTTCCCAAAGTGCTAGGATTATGGGTATGAGCCACCGCGCCCAGCCCATTTTATTGTATACAAATTGTACCTCAAAAAAGTTAATATCAAAAGGGAAAGGGAAAAGCATGGACTATGGATCCAGACCACCTGGTTTGAATCCCATCTCTCCCATTTACTAGCTGTGTGATGGTGGACAAGTTGCTTAACTTCTCTGTGCTTCAATTTCCTCATCTGTGAAATGGGATTAATAATGGTACCCATGTCATAGTGTCGTATGAGGAAATCACCTTTAGAGCAGGGCTTGACACAAAGTAAGCTCTATATATGGGTTTATTAAATAAGCAAATAAGCCAGATTGCTGTTCTCAAAATTTAAATCTTACTCATGTCACCCTCCTCCCGTTGCTCTCAGGATAAAGCCCAAAACATTTTCAGTGGCCTTATCACCCTCCTCTTTGTCCCTCACTCGCTAAGGCTCCTGCTCAGGCCATCTGTCTGTCCGCCAAGTAGGGCACTCCTCCTGGTAGCAAGGCCCTCTCACAGGCTGTTCCTCTACTCGGAAGGCTTTTCCCCTCCCTCTCTGCCTGGCTAACATCAACTCATCATAAACCTCGAGTCGTCAATGAAGACTTCCCAGAATTCTCTAAGCCAAGGCAGCCAGAAGAAAAGGCCAATACTCCTCTTTTATAGCACCAAGCGCAACTATAAACACATATTTATATTTGTGTAATTATTTCATGCATTCATTCACCAAATATTTATTGCGCACCAATACGTGCCAGGCATTAGTCTATGCTCTGAGGATACAGCAGTTTGCAAAACTAAGTCCCAGCCGGTGTGCTGGGGTGATCAGGCAGAAAATAAATAGATAATCCCGTAAGTATATTACGTCAGGGAGGGATGAGTGCTATGGAGAAAAATGAAACAGGGCAAGAGAAGGACAATGAATCAGTGGCTACTATTGTAGACAGTGTGGTCAGGTGAGACCTGAGGAGGTGACATTTAAGCAGAGATCTGAGAGAGAGAGGAAATGGATCTTGGGAATATCTGGGGAAAGAAAGTTCCAGAAGGAAAAAATGATGGTGCAAAAGCCTTGAAGTTAGGAGCATAATCTGTACGTTCTTCAATAAATCGCAGGAAGAGGATGAGAGCAGTAGCGGGGGGAGGCTGGAACAGTCAGAACCAGAGCGAGTAGGGCCTTCAAGGACATTGTAAGGACATTGGCTTTAACTGGCAGGGAGACGGGAACCCCTGAAGGGATAGCATCCCAGAAGGGCACGCTCTGACTTTTATGTTAACTGGATCAAGCACACTGATTGCGCTGTCGAAAATATTCCAGAAAGAGGCAACGCCCATAGCAGGGAGACCAATCTAGGATACAGATGACAGTGACTTGGTCACAGATAGCAGCGAGGGTGGTCAGATAGGTGACACCAAGGATTTGGGCCTGAGCATGTAGAAGGGGAGATGGGGAAACCCACAGGAGTTGCAAGTTTCGGGGAGGATTTGGACGTGCTGAGCTTGAGATGCCTACTAAATACTGAGCAGAGATAGCAAGTAGGCAGTTTGATGTTTGAGTCTGAGTTCAGGAGAGAGGGCCACACTGACGCTATCTACACAGAGATGTTCAGCATATATTTAAACCTCTAACACTGGATGAGATCGCCAAGACAGTGAATACAGGGAGAAGCTATAACAGGTGAGTTTCAAGAACTGAGATCCAGGGCACATCATTGTCAAGATGTTAGGTAGACTACGTACAACGAGCAAAAGCAAGATTATGGAAAACTCTCCAGAACAACCTAAATTTCTTCAGCCAATACATTACAGAGACAGAGAGAGAACACCTAGGGACTTAAAAATTTAAGAGATACATCAGTCACTTGTAGCATACAGACTTTCTTTGGATCCTGATTCAACACACCCTAAAAACACTAAATATGAAACAAATGGGGAAATCTGAGCCCTGATTGAATATTCAAAGATTTTAAAGAATTATTGTCAATATTTTTAAGTTTGATAATACAACTGTGGTTATATTTTTAAAGGCGGGCGTCCTCATCTTTTAAAGGGGGCAGGGAGGGCACACACGGGCCAAATTCAAACAGCTGCCTGATTTTGTGTGGTTCATAAGCTAAAAATGGTTTTCACATTATTTGAATTTTTTTAAAAAATTGAAAGAATAATAGTTCTTGACACACAAAAACTTCATACATGAAATTTAAATGTTAGTGTCTATAAATAAAGTTTTATTAGAACACATCCATGCCCATTCACTTAAGTATCGCCAATGGCAGAGTCGAGTACTTGGGACAGAGAGTGTGTGGTCTCCAAAGCCAAAAATATTTATTCTCTGTTCCTTTACAGACAAAGTTTGCCAACCCCTCTGTTAGAGCTGTGTACTTACATATTGACAGAAGAAATGATGCGATGTCGGGAATTGCCTCCGAAATAATGCTGGCGGAGGGAGGTGGGAGGGAGGGGGCACAGATGAAACAAGGCTGGGTCGGCCATTGTTGAAGCTGGGTGCTGGAGACAGGGGGGCTGATTATATTCTTTTGTGTCTGCTTTTGTATGTGTTTGAAATTTTCCATATCACAGTGTTTAAAAAGGAAAAGCAAAACAAAAGAGACTGTGAGTTTTTAACAAAAGAAGTTAGGTAGATGAGGAGGAACTAAGACAGGGAACCTAGAGGAGTGGCCGGGTGGGGATGGTGTCCTTGAGGTCAGGCGGAGAAACGGAAATCTCAGAAGCCGCTGGAAGGTCAAGTCAGATGAGGACTGGGAATTGCGTTTTGTTCCACCAGACTCCCAAGAGCTGGTACCCCAACTACGTGGTACCATCTATATGA